TGTCAGTGTTCACCTAGCAGTAAGTAGGTACCTGGGTGTTAGTCACCTTACACCTGCTGTCAGTGTTCACCTAGCAGTAAGTAGGTACCTGGGTGTTAGTTACACCTTCTGTCAGTGTTCACCTAGCAGTAAGTAGGTACCTGGGTGTTAGTTACACCTGCTGTCAGTGTTCACCTAGCAGTAAGTAGGTACCTGGGTGTTAGTTACACCTGCTGTCAGTGTTCACCTAGCAGTAAGTAGGTACCTGGGTGTTAGTTACACCTGCTGTCAGTGTTCACCTAGCAGTAAGTAGGTACCTGGGTGTTAGTTACACCTGCTGTCAGTGTTCACCTAGCAGTAAGTAGGTACCTGGGTGTTAGTTACACCTGCTGTCAGTGTTCACCTAGGAGTCAGTAGGTACCTGGGTGTTAGTTACACCTGCTGTCAGTGTTCACCTAGCATTAAGTAGGTACCTGGGTGTTAGTTACACCTGCTGTCAGTGTTCATCTAGCAGTAAGTAGGTACCTGGGTGTTAGTTACACCTGCTGTCAGTGTTCACCTAGCAGTCAATAGGTACCTGGGTGTTAGTTACACCTGCTGTCAGTGTTCATCTAGCAGTCAGTAGGTACCTGTGTGTTAGTTACACACGCTGTCAGTGTTCACCTAGCAGTCAGTAGGTACCTGGGTGTTAGTTACACCTGCTGTCAGTGTTCACCTAGCAGTCAGTAGGTACCTGGGTGTTAGTTACACCTGCTGTCAGTGTTCACCTAGCAGTAAGTAGGTACCTGGGTGTTAGTTACACCTGCTGTCAGTGTTCACCTAGCAGTAAGTAGGTACCTGGGTGTTAGTTACACCTGCTGTCAGTGTTCACCTAGCAGTCAGTAAGTACCTGGGTGTTAGTTACACCTGCTGTCAGTGTTCACCTAGCAGTAAGTAGGTACCTGGGTTAGTTACACCTGCTGTCAGTGTTCACCTAGCAGTAAGTAGGTACCTGGGTGTTAGTTACACCTGCTGTCAGTGTTCACCTAGCAGTAAGTAGGTACCTGGGTGTTAGTTACACTGCTGTCAGTGTTCACCTAGCAGTCAGTAGGTACCTGGGTGTTAGTTACACCTGCTGTCAGTGTTCACCTAGCAGTAAGTAGGTACCTGGGTATTAGTTACACCTGCTGTCAGTGTTCACCTAGCAGTCAGTAGGTACCTGGGTGTTAGTTACACCTGCTGTGAGTGTTCACCTAGCAGTAAGTAGGTACCTGGGTGTTAGTTACACCTGCTGTCAGTGTTCACCTAGCAGTCAGTAGGTACCTGGGTGTTAGTGGACTGGTGTGGGTGGCATCCTGGGGGACAAAATTAACCTAAGTTGTGGGAAATGCTCTACATAACCTGGAACTTTCTATATAGTATGTCATTGTTGTGAGCTATGGTCTGTATAAGTTGTACCATCTACTGGTAGAAATAATAATAATTATTATTATTATTATTATTATTATTATTATTATTATTATTATTATTATTATTATTATTATTATATAGTAGGTCATTGTTGTGAGCTATGGTCTGTATAAGTTGTACCATCTACTGGTAGAAATAATAATAATAATTATTATTATTATTATTATTATTATTATTATTATTATTATTATTATTATTATTATTATTATTATTAACATAACTTACAAAATATCTCAACACAACTTTGATAAGGTAAATAAAATGCGGAATAAACTGCATAATTCTTAAATATTAACCTGTACATAATTAAGGTAATATTAACCTGTACATAATTAAGGTAATATTAACCTGTACATAATTAAGGTAATACTAAGGTAATATTAACCTGTACATAATTAAGGTAATATTAACCTGTACATAATTAAGGTAATATTAACCTGTACATCATTAAGGTAATATTAACCTGTACATCATTAAGGTAATACTAAGGTAATAATAACCTGTACATAATTAAGGTAATATTAACCTGTACATAATTAAGGTAATATTAACCTGTACATAATTAAGGTAATATTAACCTGTACATATTTCAGGTAATACTAAGGTAATATTAACCTGTACATCATTAAGGTAATATTAACCTGTACATAATTAAGGTAATATTAACCTGTACATAATTAAGGTAATATTAACCTGTACATCATTAAGGTAATATTAAGGTAATATTAACCTGTACATCATTAAGGTAATATTAACCTGTACATAATTAAGGTAATATTAACCTGTACATAATTAAGGTAATATTAACTGTACATAATTAAGGTAATATTAACCTGTACATAATTAAGGTAATATTAACCTGTACATAATTAAGGTAATATTAACCTGTACATAATTAAGGTAATATTAACCTGTACATCATTAAGGTAATTAAAGCTATCCCGCTGCGACATATGTTATCATTAACATAGAAACATTATATTTAACAACAGAAAATAACACTGTAGACTAGATTATTAACCCAGGATATAAATTATGGTTGTTAATGTTAAAGGAGGGGGGAGGGAAGCGGTAAAACCGTAAGAGGTCATGCTTGAGGGATGGGAGGTCGTGAGGTTCAATCCAGGAAAGGGGACAGTAGCTCTTAAGTTCCCTGGATCAAGAGCCTCTGACCGGTATCAAGGTACCTTCAGGGTTTCCGTAAATTTAACAAAAATACTTAAGTTTCCCCCCCGAAAAAAAAGAAAATTGCAACAGAAATCGAGATAATGTAAACACAGATCAGCTGATTATTATTATTACTACGAGGGAAGCGCTAAACCCGTAAGTCAAACAGCCCACGGGAAATGGTGATCATGTTTGATCTGAGGAAGAGGATTGAAGCCTTTAATACTTATTACAGTTCAGATTAAAAAATGTATAACAGATTAGGTCATGTTAGGTGAGATTAGCTTAGGTTAGGTAGGGTAAGGTAAGATTAGGTAAGATTAGGCTAGGTAAGGTAAAGTTAGGTTAGGTTAAGTAAGGTTAGGTTAGGTAGGGTTAGGTTAGGTTAAGTAATGTTAGGTTAGGTAAGGTAAAGTTAGGTTAGGTTAAGTAAGGTTAGGTTAGGTAAGGTTAGGTTAGGTTAAGTAAGGTTAAGTTAGGTAGGGTTAGGCTAAGTTAGATAAGGCTAGGCTAAGTTAGGTAAGGTTAGGCTAAGTTAGATAAGGTTAGGCTAAGTTAGGTAGGGTTAGGCTAAGTTAGATAAGGTTAGGCTAAGTTAGGTAGGGTTAGACTAAGTTAGATAAGGTTAGGCTAAGTTAGGTAAGGTTAGGCTAAGTTAGGTAAGGTTAGGCTAAGTTAGGTAAGGTTAGGCTAAGTTAGGTAAGGTTAGGCTAGTTAGGTAAGGTTAGGCTAAGTTAGGTAAGGTTAGGCTAAGTTAGGTAAGGTTAGGCTAAGTTAGGTAAGGTTAGGCTAAGTTAGGTAAGGTTAGGTTAGGTTAGGTAAGGTTAGGCTAAGTTAGGTAAGGTTAGGCTAAGTTAGGTAAGGTTAGGCTAAGTTAGGTAAGGTTAGGCTAAGTTAGGTAAGGTTAGGCTAAGTTAGGTAAGGTTAGGCTAAGTTAGGTAAGGTTAGGCTAAGTTAGGTAAGGTTAGGCTAAGTTAGGTAAGGTTGGGTTAAGTAAGGTTATGTTAGGCTATGTTAAGTTAGGTTAGGTTAGGTTAGGTTATGTTATGTTAAGTTAGGTTAGGTTATGTTAAGTTAGGTCAAGTAAGGTTAGGTAAGGTTAGTCAGGAAACAGGACAAGTGTTTCCTGACGCGGGTCTTAGATAATAACCCCACAACTGGAGCGTTAGGTCATCTGACAGAGACCTTCCACTGGCTTACCACTCCAGTTTAAAAATTATACTTATGCATAATTATAACCACTCTTAGTGTCCAATAACAATAATAATAATAATAATTAATAATAACAATAAATACAGTAGTAGATTTACTCTCAAGATGGCGGCGAATCCTACTCTCAAGATGGCGTCGAATCCTACCGATTTTCTTTATGTAAATTCTTTATTATTAAGTGAATTCTGAAGTCAAGACACTAATATTTATAATAATTAATACTGAAACTAATTTTTGGTAGTGAGAACTGACGTAATATAACCCAACGTAACGTAAAATAACGCTTTTTATTATTGTATTGAGGGGAAGCGCTTAACCTATAAGAGTCACTCATCCTCTGGTTAAGAGCAGGCAACCACATTCAGCTAAAGGCCTCCAGTTCCTCGGAACAAACACAAGGTGAACCGCTGAAAACACCGTAACGACCATACAAACTATATCTAATATCTACACATCTACTGTTACACAGATACTCGAGCCTTCACCAGGCTTCTGCTGCGACATTTTTAACACCTCTCTGACTAGGTCATAAAATATTATTATTAATAAATTCATATAAATTCATATAAATAAAGCATAATGAAGGGTATTATTTTTACCTAGTTATTACTATTAACTTTTTATACAGGAATCATATATATATATATATATATATATATATATATATATATATATATATATATATATATATATATATATATATATATATATATATATATATATATATATATATATATATCGTGCCGAATATGTAAAACTGGTCAATTAGCAAGAACTCATTTAAAATTAAGTCCTTTCTAAAATTTTTAATTTTGCACCAAAAGAATCTTAGAAAACTTACCTAACCTTATTATAACAAGAACAATTTATTTTAGCCTAACCCAACTAAAAATATTTTAGATTTGTTTACAATAATTTAATACTAAACAAACACAGTGAAATATATTTGTTTCGTTAGGTTCAGAATGATTTTGGCGAAATTATTGCATACACAAATTTTCACTTGTCCTATATGGCAAGATGAACGTTGCTATTTAAGCCAAGATGGCAAGTTCTGCCTATTCGGCACGACATATATATATATATATATATATATATATATATATATATATATATATATATATATATATATATATATAATATATATATATATTATATATACATATATATATATATATATGTATATACAGGTCTTTGGGAATTAGAGTGAGGTCCTGTGTGGTCCAAGACCACAACAATTATAATGCTAGACAGAATATAATAGTGGTCTGGGACCAGAGAAGTGGTCCCAGACCACCATAAGTGATCCAAAGAGACCACAGCAGTGGTCCCAGAAGACCGTAACAGTGGCCCAAGACTTCAAGTGTCCCAGGGAAACAACAGGAATTTCAATCAGGTTTGATCCGAGGAAAAGGGGGTGTTATCCCCATAACCCCGAACTCAAGATCCCTTTGCATTCTACACACACACACTGGAAAGGCCCAGGAGCTGAGACTCGACCTCTCAGGCTCGGATTTGAAGCAAGACCTTCTTGTGTTGTGGCTGGTGGTGGTGTTCCGTGAGGCTGGAGGCTGGTCTCTTCTTAGTCTGTGTACTGTGGTCTGCAGACCTCTTCCTCGAGGTCTTGTTTGGCCTGATGTAGTCTGTAAGTAAACGAAATATCAAGAGACTATTATCAGACTGGTGTTATTATTATTATTATTATTATTATTATTATTATTATTATTATTATTATTATTATTATTATTATTGTTTTGGGGAATGAAACATTTGAGAACGTTTATTGAGGAAACGTTTCGCTATTCCAGTGGTTTCTTCAGTCCAATACAGAGAAAAACGGCGGAAGATGAGAGGTGTGAGGTAATCAGTCCCTCAGAATGGCGTAGATGTGTTCACTCCATCAGGACTGATGGAGTGAACACATCAACTCCACACTGAGGGACTGATTTATCAGACAGACATTATTAATTATTCCAGTGAACTTCTCCCGTGAGAGTGACCTTCCAGGGTCTGATAAACGGATTTCTCAACTATATGAAGCTAAAAAGCTTGGGAAGCTTCAGATATAAGCTAAATAATGCCGCCAATTGGATCTAAGTGGGACTTGCAGATCTAGAGAATGTACAGAGAACCTTTACTGCACGTATAAGTTCCATCAAACACCTTAACTACTGGGAAAGCTTGGAAACACTTGACTTGTACTCACTGGAGTGCAGGCGAGAGAGATACATCATAATATACACCTGGAAAATCCTAGAGGGACTGGTCCCTAATCTGCACATGGAAATCACTCTCAACGACAGCAAAGACTTGGCAGGGGTTCCAAAATACCCACAGTGGAAAACAGAAGCCCAAGGCTGTTCAACTGCCTCCCAGCATACATAAGGGGGGATTACCAATAGGCCCCTGGCTGTCTTCAAGACCCCTGGCTGTCTTCAAGACCCCTGGCTGTCTTCAAGACCCCTGGCTGTCTTCAAGACCCCTGGCTGTCTTCAAGACCCCTGGCTGTCTTCAAGACCCCTGGCTGTCTTCAAGACCCCTGGCTGTCTTCAAGACCCCTGGCTGTCTTCAAGACCCCTGGTTGTCCTTGAATACGAGGCAGCAGGTGTAGTAGTGAAATGTTAGTCGAGTTGTGGATGAGTTGAGGAGACTGTCACTGTGATGAAAGCCTTGACTGCCTTTAAATATAGGTAGGTTGAGTGTATGAGTGAGTGTCTTTCAGATACCCAGGTGTCCCTCAGATACTCAGGTGTCCCTCAGATACTCAGGTGTCCCTCAGATACTCAGGTGTCCCTCAGATACCCAGGTGTCCCTCAGATACTCAGGTGTCCCTCAGATACTCAGGTGTCCCTCAGATACCCAGGTGTTATACATGTGTCTATCAGATACCCAGGTTTCCCTCATACCTAGGTGTCCCTCAGATACTCAGGTGTCCCTCAGATACCCAGGTGTCCCTCAGATACCCAGGTGTCCCTCAGATACTCAGGTGTCCCTCAGATACCCAGGTGTTATACATGTGTCTATCAGATACCCAGGTTTCCCTCATACCTAGGTGTCCCTCAGATACTCAGGTGTCCCTCAGATACCCAGGTGTCCCTCAGATACCCAGGTGTCCCTCAGATACTCAGGTGTCCCTCAGATACCCAGGTGTTATACATGTGTCTATCAGATACCCAGGTTTCCCTCATACCTAGGTTTTCCCTCAGATACTCAGGTGTCCCTCAGATACCCAGGTGTCCCTCAGATACTCAGGTGTCCCTCAGATACCCAGGTGTCCCTCAGATACCCAGGTGTTATACATGTGTCTATCAGATACCAGGTGTCCCTCATACCTAGGTGTCCCTCAGATACCCAGGTGTCCCTCAGATACCCAGATATTATACATATGTCTTTCAGATACCAGGTATCCCTCATACCTAGGTGTCCCTCAGATACCCAGGTGTCCCTCAGATACCCAGGTGTCCCTCAGATACCCAGATGTTATACATGTGTCTATCGGATACCAGGTGTCCCTCATACCTAGGTGTCCCTCAGATACTCAGGTGTCCCTCAGATACCCAGGTGTCCCTCATACCTAGGTGTCCCTCAGATACTCAGGTGTCCCTCAGATACCCAGGTGTCCCTCAGATACCCAGGAGTTATACATGTGTCTATCAGATACCCATGTGTTATACATGTGTCTATCAGATATCCATGTGTCCCTCATACCTAGGTGTCCCTCAGATACCCAGGTGTCCCTAAGATACCCAGGTGTTATACATGTGTCTATCAGATACCCATGTGTTATACATGTGTCTATCAGATACCCATGTGTCCCTCATACCTAGGTGTCCCTCAAATACCCAGGTGTCCCTCAGATACCCAGGTGTCCCTCAGATACCCAGGTGTCCCTCAGATACCCAGGTGTTATACATGTGTCTATCAGATACCAGGTGTCCCTCATACCTAGGTGTCCCTCAGATACCCAGGTGTCCTTCAGATACCCAGGTGTCCCTCAGATACCCAGGTGTTATACATGTGTCTATCAGATACCAGGTGTCCCTCATACCTAGGTGTCCCTCAGATACCCAGGTGTCCCTCAGATACCCAGATATTATACATGTGTCTATCAGATACCAGGTATCCCTCATACCTAGGTGTCCCTCAGATACCCAGGTGTCCCTCAGATACCCATATGTTATACATGTGTCTATCACATACCAGGTGTCCCTCATACCTAGGTGTCCCTCAGATACCCATATGTTATACATGTGTCCATCGGATACCAGGTGTCCCTCATACCTAGGTGTCCCTCATACCTAGGTGTCCCTCAGATACCCAGGTGTCCCTCAGATACCCAGGTGTCCCTCAGATACCCAGGTGTCCCTCAGATACCCAAGTGTCCCTCAGATACCCAGTTGTTACATGTCTCAATCAAGACACCTAGGTGTTGCACACATACAATCAAGACACCTAGGTGTTACACACATAATCAAGACACCTAGGTGTTACACACATAATCAAGACACCTAGGTGTTACACACATACAATCAAGACACCTAGGTGTTACACACATAATCAAGACACCTAGGGTTTACACACATAATCAAGACACCTAGGTGTCACACACATACAATCAAGACACCTAGGTGTTACACACATACAATCAAACACCCAGGTGTTACAACATAA